AGATGGTTCCTATATTTGTGTTGCCATGCATGTGCATTGGGATGTCATCCAAAATGGATGGCACTGCACTGATGTCTTGCATCACGTTAAAAGGCATTTGCATCGGCTGGATTTGTGAAAGTTGAGAATGAAAGGCTGGGAATAAGCGCTCGGGGAGGGGGGAGGGGTCCAGGGATGCTGGGTGCGCTGCTTCTCAAATGTGCAGACCGGGGTGTCCGACGTTTGTACTGAGGGTAACAAAAAATAGGGGGAGGAGAAGCGCCAACAACCTGGCGTGGAATGGTGATTGGGTGTTAGGAAGAAAGAAAGGTTTACTCACATCTGGGTGAGTTTGTTGAGTCTTGGACCGAGGATTTCAGGGAGGTGGTGCTGTGTGGCAGGGTGCCGGCACGTCTGATCTGATCTCCGGAGATTGGATCAGAAACGCTCTCTCTACCCATCTGTGATGGGTAGAGAGAGCATCTGTACCATTAGCTCAGCGCGTCCACTCTGTGCGCTCTCTACTTCCTGTTACTTTATGAATGGAGTTAGTCACTGACAGTCTATGGCAGGGATAGCCAAACTCCAGCCCTCTGGCTGTGGTGGAACTACAAATCCCATGAGGCATTGCAAGATTCTCCCAGCCACAGACATGACTCCCGGAGAGAGATGCATCATGGGATTTGTAGTTTCACCACTGCTGGAGGGCCGGCGTTTGGCTACCTCTGGTCTATGGGATCACCACATGCAGGAAGGAAGGATTTCCATTCATGAAATGGCAGGGACCGGTAGCATTGAGCTACTAGGATCAAGGAGCTAACCTTGCTTCTGTACCAGTGTTCGGGGATATTTTATTTGGCTGGAGTTTAGCTTGAGGTGTAAAATATTTTGATCTTTATTGCAGAGCCCATAACGATGTACATACAGATGATCATGGAGGTGGTTCCACCGGTAGAATCCAAAGAATAAAGGACCCTGGGAACTGTTAGCGCTGCAAGTCTGGACATTTTGTACATAGTGTAAAATGTAATTTCAAAAGGAAAAACATCCAAATATCCAAATATTCCATCACGGTGGACCCGCCCTCAGCAGCTTCAATCCTGGGATGTCTGCACTGTCTATGAATGAAAAGCTGAATTCAGCTCAGACAGGGACTCATTATCCAGCAGCAGAACTGTGGACGAGAATGTTTTGTTTCAGGAATGTCAAAATTTTGGTTTGTAAAAATTCTACACTCCGGAAGAGCTGTGTGACGTCTTCAATCAGCACAATCCCAGCACCCCCTGCCTCTTCCTACCTCTATGCACATAATGGGGATACACGGACTTCTCAAAGTGGTTTTTTTTTTTTTACCTAATCAATGTAAATGATCAGTGTGCGCCCAAACCAATCTGTGTTTTTATGTACAGTTTTGCAATAAAATATGTACATGGGGGGCAGCTAATTGTGCTCATTACATAGCAGATCGCACCTTTCTACCTGGTACAGTCAAATAGAGAGTCCCACCGCACTCCTGATCAAGAAGCCCCATACAATGTGGGGCGCTGAAGTGGCCGAAGCTGGCGCCGCCAAATACCTGCAAAACAGAAAATTGGTCGCCAGCACTCCAGGTTTTCTTGAAAACTAAATCCTTTTATTCATTCTCACAGGTCATATCGCCATGCGCGGTAACGTTTCGGAACCTGTCCGGTCCCTTTTGTTTGCCTGATGAAGGGAGCGGACAGGTTCCGAAACGTTGCCAGCAAGGGTGCTATGACCTGTGAGAATGAATAAAAGGATTTTGTTTTAAAGAAAACCTGGAGTGCTGGTGACCATTTTTCTGTTTTTCTACCTGGTACTGTACATTGGGAGGCCGATCTAAAACTTCATTGGATCAAGCCAACAGCGGGGGCACTGGTCTGATGTCTACATAACTGAAATGTCACAGAAAACATTACTACCGAGAACACTTTATTATAAAGCAAACAGGAGTTTTGTACTTGCCATAAAATCTGTTTCTGGACGTACATTAGGGGACGCAAGATCAGCGTAATCCAGAGACAACTGGGTTATACTGCTGCATACAGGAGGAAATAAGACACTGGAAAACAAAAATGCCAATAGCCAGCAAGGAATAATCTTTCCCATCATGCTTCAGCTTTAAGGGCCTGTTCACACGACGTCCGTTTTGTGTGCTGACCGGATCCGTACGCTGCTGCACTCAAAATGCATCCCAATGTATCCCTGTGTGTTTTATGGGCTCCAGTTCTCACGTGCGCAGTCCGTTCAGCTTACGACAGAAAAAATACTGCATGTCACATTTTGTCAGGTCCGGAAACGGAACGGATACGCAAACGCGTCAAAAACGCACTCCAGCTAACATACTAACAGCCCCACTTTTTTTTTTTTTGCTGGAACGCATCAAAAACGCGGCCAAAAACGCAATGCATCAGCAGCTCCACGTCTGCTGATCAGGACCTGATCTCATGTGAACAGGCCCTTATAGAAAAGCAATAGTAGCATTAAATAACAGACGGAGGGGGGGGAGGGGCAGTTAGGATTTGTGTCCCTTAATGAACCTACAGAAATGAATTTTACGGCAAGTAGAAAAATTCTGTTTTGTTTTTTTAACTGCTCATTAAGGGACTCGGGATCAGAGTAGTTCAGAGAAAACTGAGACATCCAAAAGCAGTTCAACTGAGGGTGGGCAACACGGCCAAAAAGCCCCCAGAACAACAGTGTAAGAACTGGGGGCAGCCTGCAGCTAAAAGAGCTGTTTGTAGGAACTTATGACTAAAGCTTGCATTAGCTATGGTCCGAATATGCACCTTGTAACTTAGATAACAGGAACAGAAAACCAAGTGGCAGCTTCGGATGTTCCTTGACAGGTAAGAGGAACTGACAACTACACAGGAGAACTCAGACCGGTGAGCAGTAGAAGGCCTAAGGCTGGCCATACATTTTTGGAAAAAATAGACCCGATTCCTCCATCACCAAACAGCGTGTCGATCGAGGAATCTCCGCTGTGCACATGCAGCAGCTGCCGGCACCTCTCAGAATACCCAACCAGAGCAGGCAGCTCAATCGAAGATTTTCCGACCGTCTCCTTCGATCAGCTGATCAAGGGATGCCGATCGAAATGGTGCTGACAGTGGCACCCACCGTGTGAATTTGGGCCGGTTCCTCAAAAACCCGGCCGAAATTCCAACAGTGTATGTAGACCAGGGGTAGCAAAACTCCGGCCCTCCAGCTGTGGTGAAACTACAAAATCCCATGATGCATCTATCTTCGGGAGTCATGTCTGTGAGAATCTTGCAATGGCTCATGGGATTTGTAGTTCCACCACAGCTGGAGGGCCGGAGGTTTGCTACCCCTGATGTAGAGTTTAAAGCTGGAATTTAACCTGAGTCCTGTGAACACCTAGAGGTGTATCTGGGGTTTGACAGGCAACACTGCATCCGAAGAAATGATTCTATGAACCTAACACAGGAAAGAGCAACCTCATCTAACTAGGGACGAGGTTTCAGAATCTTAGTCAAGCTACTGGGAACATCGACTGGATTGAGGAATGAGAAGGGAAGTGGAAGAATCTTTGCCAAGAGTTCACAACCCAGCTGCAGGTAGAGGGCCCTAAATACTGATGACTAAGTCCAACGAAGGCTTCCGAACTCACGCTACCCCCTGTTAGAGTATATCCATAGCAGGGTCTGGTCTTTCAGTCCTGGGAAGTACATGACAATCCAGTGATGGAAGCCCCCTACCAAGCAGGAAAAGAGATGCACTTGGGTGCTAAACCTTCACCATTCCACAGAGATCCACGACTGAGGGAATCCCAAATACACAACCTCGGCTTCAAGAGAGCAGTTACCGGTAATTTACTAAGCACTGTCCAGCAAGAGAACCAGGTCATTCAGTCCGTTATAGGAAGAGGTCCCAGACCTTTGAAGGTCAATGTCCAATAGAGATTAAAGGAGAACTATGGGGTGAGTGACGAGGTCTGCGCAGGAGGTTGGACCTTCAGGAGAGTTGGGTTGCCAGAGTCCAGGAAACATGATAGGATTTCTGGAAGATTCCACAGCGAGGATGCCAAGAAAAAGCATTAGCGTGGACATAACATACTGAACAGAGTTAATGGACTGAAGATAAAAACCATGATCAGCCATTTATAAAATCATACTTTAACACGTAAAAGATATATATCCCTTTGTCTTTAAATGAAACATTTACATATAAAAGTATAAAAACATTATCCTTAATGCATTGGACGAAAATCTTTTACAAACATTTTAGTTCCATGACTAATGTTTAAAACGAAAATTCGCATCTACTCATTGACTAATAATGGTGTAGATTACAATAACCCTAAAGTATATATATAATAATAGATGACTTCTGCAACTCACTTAATTAGTTAAGTTAACGGAAACCTATTTTTTCCTTTGTTTCATGTAAGTGATCCATTTCAAAAAGGAGGGAGTAATATAACTATTCTTTATTTTGAAATTGTATCTTTTGATCTTTTATCTATTGCTTAGGAAACAATTCAGATCGAACTCAATATTGAGTCCCTTAGGCATCATGGTGTCTAATAAATAAATCCATTTGGATTCATTTTGTGAAATTTTGCGGGTTAGATTCGTACCCCTCCAGTGCCTTTCCACTCGATCTATTCCTACCAC